CTCACCAAAATATGAGTTTGGCTATCGGCTTTGGGATCTGATAAATAGAAAAGTCATCAGAAATAGATACGTTGTGTTCTTCGAGGATCAGACTATCGAAGACATCCAAAGATCGGAGAAACAAAGCTAAGGGTTAGAAGAAACATAGATCATGATCAATCACATGATGATAGTGGAGAAGTAGTCGAAAATGGTGATGATGATTCTGAAGAAAGTATTTCAGATGATAATGGCGATGAAACCATAGAAGAGGAGTTTGAACTGAGACGGTCAACCAGAGGTAAAATACGTTAACACGATATACTCTTGACGAGTATGTGACCCTTACGGATGAGGGGGAGCCTCAAAGCTATGAGGAAGCCATAGTCGACGAAATGCGAATATGATTGTTATACTAATCAACACGACAAAGAGAAAAAAAAAAAACTAATAATGTGTGAAAGAGAGAAAAAAAAAATATAGATGAATTTGACATCCACATTATGTTGTTTTTGAAGTTGTGTTCTAAAACAAAAGAGAGACCTTTTTCGTTTGGCCTTTTTTTTTGTGTGTATTGTATTGGTCGAGAATGTTCAAGAAAATAACTTTGGGGGTCATTTATTTTCAAACTTTGTAGAAGATTGTGGAGTGTTTAAGAAATCTCTCAAATCTTCTTTATCGCTAGCTTTATTCATATTCAGCCCACAAGAATAAAGGCCCACTCAAAACCCTTTTTTGAAATCCATCTCATATCCTAATTTTTTGTTTTTATAAGGAGATTTGATTAGACCTCGAGTTCAATGAAAATAAAGAAAGAGAAACAAAAAAATGTTTGTTTTTTTGTTGATAAAAATTAATATAATTGCAGACACGTTATTTCAAACATGTAAAAGGGGTAAAAGCTATGTATAGAAAGTAGAAACTGGAACTGAAAATATTGAACAGAATCTGGAACTGAGAATATTGATCATACTATAAAATCAAGTCAGCGTAACATTTAATAAGTTTTATTTTTGGGTAACAACATTTAATAAGTTAAGTTCAAAGTGTTTGACAATTTACAACAAAAACAAATGGAATGGTCAAATTAGTTTCCACAATCTTTGAGGGAAAGTCAAAATTCAAATAAACGTTTCTTGGACTAAAGTGGCTTCCTCGTATAACATAGAGGACTCCAATTTTCACCCCTAAAAAATAACGACTCCAGTATGTGTGTAAACGGCTTTAACAGTGATTTTTTGGTC